TTATTACACGAGCGCATTCTCTAGATTGTCGTACTTATTACACGAGCGCATTTTATAGATTGTCGTACTTATTACGCAAGCGCATTCTCTAGATTGTCGTACTTATTACACGAGCGCATTCTCTAGATTGTCGTACTTATTACACGAGCGCATTCTCTAGATTNTTATTACACGAGCGCATTCTCTAGATTGTCGTACTTATTACACGAGCGCATTCTCTTGATTAGTATATTTATTACACTAGCGCATTCTCTTGATTAGTATATTTATTACACGAGCGCATTCTCTATATTAGTATATTTATTACACGAGCGCATTCTCTAGATTGTTCTACTTGATACACGAAGGTATTCTCTTGATCATGCTACTTATTGCACGAGCACATTCTATTCAATACGCGCATCCTTTTTTCGTTAAACTTTTTATACCTGTAATGGGTAGCTATAGTCCCCTTCACAGTTCCCTGCGCCATCTTGAAAGGTAGCCGTGCCTTTGCATCGAAGCGAGACGAACGGTGGGCGTGCAATGATAGATACCTTTTTAAACACCTTGGACAATTATTCACATGTCTCTATCATTACAAGCTCACCGTTCGTCTCGCTTCGATGCAAAGGCACGGCTACCTTTAAAGATTGCGCAGGGAACGGTGAAGGGGTCTATTGGTTGTATAATCTTGGGAAGTACTCGATATATCCCTAACCCTTTTCTTGTTCTTTTCTTAGGCATACCTTGAGCGGATTGAGGTGAGCTTGTATGTTTTCCCCTTCTTCTTGATAAAACGAATCTAGCTGATCTCTTGAGTGTATCTATCAATAATAAGATACAACAATACATGTTTTAACTTAGTTTTTATCAAAAACTACCTTCATCTTACTTTGCCCGTAATACAAAGTTGTATAACGAGTGACCAACATTAAAACAAAGTAAAAAAAAAAAGGAATTAGTGGCATGTCTACCACTAAATATTTTGCTAACTAGAGTGAAGGCATTTAACCCATGAAATAAAAAA